AGACGGCCAGTTTGATCTGCGGGGAGAAAAGGGGGGGGTTACTGGTTTGTACTGGTTTATACTGGTTTGTACTGGTCTGTACTGGTTTGTACTGGTTTGTACTGGAACCCTTCTGACCCCTCTGTGACCCTCCCAGTTTGATTTATGGGGTCACTGGTTCATACTGGTTTGTACTGGTTTGTACTGGTTTGCACTGGAACCCTTCCATGACCCCTCCCAGTTTGATTTATGGGGTCACTGGTCTGTACTGGTTCATACTGGTTTGTACTGGAACTCCTCTGACCCCTCTGTGACCCTCCCAGTTTGATTTATGGGGTCACTGGTTCATACTGGTCTGTACTGGTCTGTACTGGTCTGTACTGGAGCCCCCTGACCCCTCCCAGTTTGATTTATGGGGGTTACTGGTTCATACTGGTCTGTACTGGAACCCTTCCATGACCCCTCCCAGTTTGATCTATGGGGGTTACTGGTTCATACTGGTTTGTACTGGTCTGTACTGGTTTGTACTGGAACCCTTCTGACCCATCTGTGACCCTCCCAGTTTGATTTATGGGGTCACTGGTTCATACTGGTTTGTACTGGTTTGTACTGGAACCCTTCCATGACTCCTCCCAGTTTGATCTATGGGGGTTACCGGTTCATACTGGTTTATACTGGTTCATACTGGTTTATACTGGAGCCCCTTTGACTCATTTATGACCCCTCCCAGTTTGATCTATGGGGGTACTGGTCTGTACTGGTTTGTACTGGTTTGTACTGGAACCCTTCCATGACCCCTCCCAGTTTGATTTATGGGGTCACTGGTTTGTACTGGTTCATACTGGTTTGTACTGGTTTGTACTGGAGCCCCTCTGACCCCTCTGTGACCCCTCCCAGTTTGATTTATGGGGTACTGGTCTGTACTGGTTTATACTGGTTTGTACTGGAACCCCCTGACCCCTCCCAGTTTGATTTATGGGGGTTACTGGTCTGTACTGGTCTGTACTGGTCTGTACTGGTTTGTACTGGAGCCCCTCTGACCCCTCCCAGTTTGATTGATGGGGTTACTGGTTCATACTGGTTTGTACTGGTTTATACCGGAACCCCCCTGACCCCTCCCAGTTTGATTTATGGGGTCACTGGTCTGTACTGGTTTGTACTGGTTTGTACTGGAACCCCTCTGACCCTTCCCAGTTTGATCTATGGGGGTACTGGTTTGTACTGGTTTGTACTGGTTTGTACTGGAGCCCCTCTGACCCCTCTGTGACCCCCCCCAGTTTGATTTATGGGGGTACTGGCTCATACTGGTTTATACTGGAACCCCCCTGACCCCTCCCAGTTTGATCTATGGGGGTTACTGGTTCATACTGGTTTGTACTGGTTCATACTGAACCCCCCCTGACCCCTCCCAGTTTGATTTATGGGGTCACTGGTTCATACTGGTCTGTACTGGTTTGTACTGGTTTGTACTGGAACCCCTCTGACCCCTCTGTGACCCTCCCAGTTTGATCTATGGGGGTCACTGGTTTGTACTGGAGCCCCTCTGACCCCTCCCAGTTTGATTTATGGGGTCACTGGTTTGTACTGGTTCATACTGGAACCCCTCTGACCCCTCCCAGTCTGATTTATGGGGGTTACTGGTTCATACTGGTCTGTACTGGTTTGTACTGGAACCCTTCATACTGGTCTGTACTGGTTTGTACTGGAGCCCCTCTGACCCCTCTGTGACCCCGCCCAGTTTGATTTATGGGGAGAAAATGGGGTCACTGGTCTGTACTGGTTTGTACTGGTTTGTACTGGAACCCTTCTGACCCCTCTGTGACCCCTCCCAGTTTGATCTATGGGGGTCACTGGTTTGTACTGGTTCATACTGGTTTGTACTGGTTTATACCGGAACCCCTCTAACCCCTCCCAGTTTGATTTATGGGGTCACTGGTTCATACTGGTTTGTACTGGTTTGTACTGGAGCCCCTCTGACCCCTCTGTGACCCCGCCCAGTTTGATCTATGGGGGTCACTGGTTTGTACTGGTTCATACTGGTCTGTACTGGTTTATACTGGAACCCCTCTGACCCCTCCCAGTTTGATTTATGGGGAGGAAATGGGGTCAAAACCTCCCCAAATCCCCCCAAATCCTCACCCTGAGAGCCCCCAGACCCAAATTTGGGGCATTTTAGGACCATTTGGAGCCCTCAAACCCCCTCAAACCTCCCCAAATTCTCATCCTCAGGGCCCCCAGACCACAAATAACCCAAATTTGGGACATTTTGGGACCATTTGGAGCCCTCAAACCCCCTCAAAACCCCCCAAATCCTCACCCCAAGAGCCCCCAGACCCAAATTTAGGGCATTTTGGGACCATTTGGATCCCACAAACCCCCTCAGAACCCCCCAAATCCCCTCAAAACCCCCCAAATTCTCACCCCAAGAGCCCCCAGACCCAATTTTGCCTCATTTTAGGACCTTTTGGAGCCCTCAAACCTCCCCAAATTCTCATCCTCAGGGCCCCCAGACCACAAATAACCCAAATTTGGGGCATTTTGGGACCATTTGCAGCCCTCAAACCCCCACAAATCCCCCCAAATCCTCACCCCGAGAGCCCCCAGACCCAATTTTGGGTCATTTTAGGGCCATTTGGAGCCCTCAAACCCCCTCAAACCTCCCCAAAACCCCCCAACCCCTCTCACCTTGAGCGGCTTCAGCGGCTCCATCCCTTCTCCCTCCTCTCCTCCCTTCTTCCCCCTTCCTCTCCCTCTCCCCCTCGGCCTCTTGGCTCCGTCGGGGAAACCGGGCGGCTCCAGGGGCCGAATCCTCGGCCTCCCCCGCGGCCTGGGGGGTCCTTCCCTCTTGGGCTTGGTGGGTTTCCTCCCTCTCTTTTTGGGGGCGGCGTGAGCTCCGGGGTGGGGACAGAAATCGATGTCGCCCATGGGCGTCAGCGGGGGCCGGCGGCAGCTGGAGATGAGGTCGGGGAGGAGGTCGGGGAGACGCCGCGAGTTGAGGCGGATGTCGGCCGGCACGTCCGCCTTGTCCTCGTCGTCCTCGAACTCGTACTCCTGCGCGTAGGTTTTTTTGGGGGGCGGGAAGGGGTCCCTCTTCCTCAGCAGGTGGAAGGAGGAGGTTTTCAGCAGCTTTTTGGGTTTGGAGGAGCAGAATAAAGGGGTGCTGAGAGGAGGAGGAGGAGGAGGAGGAGGAGGGGGTTTGGGACCCCCCTCGCCCGTGCTCTGGATCAAACCCAGCGGCTCCGCGTTGACCGTCGAGGGCAGCTCGTGTTTGGGGGGCTCCAAGCCCAGCTGAGGGGGGTCCCCGCCGGCTCCTCCGTCCTGGGGGCAGAAGGAGGGGTAGCTCTGCCCCATGTCGTACGGAGGAGGGGGTTTCAGGCCTTCTCCTCGCCCTTCCAGCCCGGCCCCGGCGTTGCTGCCGTCCTCCTCCTCCTCTTCCTCGCCGGCCTTGGGGAAATCCTCGGGCGGCGGCCCGAACATGTCCTCCATGCCGGGGAAGAAGCCGCGATCCTCGTCCTGCAGCAGAGCGTCCGGGAAGCAGAT